TTTGTTGCGTTAAAAAGGGTATCATGAATTGTATTTTTGTTATTTTAGCTTTTTTACAAAGGTATCATGGTGTGCATTTTGTATGTATATATGAAATCACAGTAAATATCGTTTGTATGTACTTTGTAACGATGTTTTCTTAGGTATCACTGTGTGCATTTTGTATTCACATAAGATTCGCCGAAATAAGATTTGCCAGAGAGAGGAGAGAGGAGAATTTTAAAATTCATAAAATGCTTTTAATTAATATTTTAAGTTAAAATCACCAAAATTATTAATTCCAAATTTAACCTATGATTTATAGTTGAGATTGGATCTCACGGTTATCACAAATTAATGATTTATCCGTTGAATGTTCTCATATATATATATATATATATATATATATATATATATATATATTATATTATGAATATATAGAGGAACGTTCAAATGAAAACCGCCTTCATTTGTGTAAACCGTGTAAACCAATCTCATCCATCCATTTTCTTGATAAATGGTCAAGATTAGTTTACTTTATTTTAGGAAATTAAAAAATATATATATTAAAATTTTATTTTTATATCAGCAATAAGGGCAAAATGGTAAACAAAAATACATATTATGTAACATCGTATTGAAGGACATTATTCTTTATTTTAGGAAATTAAAATTTTCTATTTGCTACAATATAATTTCGCTAATGCAGCAGCCTTTTTATTCCTTATCCTGAAATTGTTTTAATAACCTTCACACACCATGTAAATATGCATCATATTCATTATGAAATTATTTCAAGACGCACCGGTTTCATCATGAATCCATTTCAGCATATAATTATTTCATGACAAACCGCATACATTATGCACCCGTTTCATTTTGCATTTCACCTACTAAATGGATCAACTACACCATCACTGAAACGGGGTTCACCATCAAACCAGTTCACTACTCATTGTTCAGTTATGTCATGAACTAGTTTCACCTTCATAAAACTTGTTTCATGTATATAGATTAGTTTATTTCGCTCCTGTTTTGATGAATTCAATTCTTTAATTCTTACAATCTTAAATATTCTGTAGCAGATTACAATCTTCAAGATTATGGAGCAGATTCATCATGTACCTGTTTCATCATGCAATTATTTCATGACGAACCAAATACATTATGCACTCATTTCATTACTCTTGGTTCAATTACGCCATGAACCAGTTTCACCCTCATGAAACCTATTTCATGTACATTAATTTTCTTATTTCACCCGTGATTTGATGAATTCATTCCTTTAACCCTTACATTCTTCAAAATTATGAAGCAGATTATAATTTTCAAGATTTTGTAACAGATTCATCATGTATCCGTTTCATCATGCAATTATTTCATGACGAACCAAATACATTATGCATCCGTTTCATTTTCCACTTCACCTACTAAATGGATCAACTACATCATCAATGAAACGGGTTTACCATGAAAATGTTTCACTACTCATTGTTCAATTATGACATGAACTAGTTTTACATTCATGAAACCTGTTTCATTTGTATTAATTTCTTTTTTCAATCATGATTTGATGAATTTATCACATTATGTCTTACAATCTTTAAGATTCACCAGCAGATTCAATCGCATCACAATATATTTAGTTCAAAATTTTAAAATTATAATATAATTAAATATTTAAATGTTATCATTTATAAAATTTACTTTATTACGTTTCCTTAATTAAGATTTATTAATAATTTCCATATTTAATTGAAAATATTGTAAATGACCGAAATACCCTTATTGATTAAATTCAATTAGAAAAAAATGGAATTTTCCTATTAGTCGAAATTAGTTTACACGGTTTCTTAGAAATGTACGGTTTTCATTTGAACGTGCCCC